TCCGTACCCACTGTGTGTGTGTGTATATATATATATATATATATATATAAATTCTTGTGATGGGGGGCCCTGCAGTAATTAGTCATAGCCCCGGGGCCCAATGTGGTCTTAATGCGGCCCTGTCTACATCAGTATATGACCTTCAAGCAAGCACCTCACACACACACACTTCCTCATTCTCTCCTGACACAAAATTATATCAACAGCAATTCATCAAAGTGACTCATCTTCCAACATTGCTCATTTGCTCTTCCTTTCTCGGATTTACACACAAACACATTAGAAAAAGCTTCTTTAGTAGATGAGCAAGTGCATCTTCAAATCATACCATGAGTTGAGAGGTCTACAAACGCATTGTGACATTGTACCTTCACCTCAAGTCTAGGCATGACCTTTTATACATCGCAACACCATGTAATCATTCAGACCATCACTTACACACCCTCCACTTACAACATACCTTGAGCAACATGAGGCCTGTTTTACGAGAAAGACAGAAAGTGATTGAGAGATGAGGCTTGTAGTCCCTATAAACCCAGAGAGGCTTCATGAACGACATAACGGTACTTTAAGGTCCTCCATACAACATAAACACACCTTCACGCAGTGGCCACATGAATTATGAAGCCCCTGTGTAGTATTCCTCAGTGTTAGTGAGTTGTCATTCATAACTGAGACGCAGTATATAATAGTCTCTCTCTCTCTCTCTCTCTCTCTCTCTCTCAGACGCACAAGAGCGCACGTGCGCACCCACACCACACAGGCAAGTCCCTATAAACCCAGAGAGGCTTCATGAACGACATAACGGTACTTTAAGGTCCTCCATACAACATAAACACACCTTCACGCAGTGGCCACATGAATTATGAAGCCCCTGTGTAGTATTCCTCTGAGTTGTTGAGTTGTCATTCATAACTGAGACGCAGTATATAATAGTCTCTCTCTCTCTCTCTCTCTGTCTCTGTCTCTCTCTCTCTCTCTCTCTCTCTCAGACGCAGAAGAGCGTACGTGCGCACTGACACCACACAGGAACAGTCAAACAGTCACCATAACAACAGAACAAGTAAAGCGTTTCCTGGCTGGACATAAATATAAAAATGCTTAAAATATACGGGTGCAGTCGCAAGCTTTTCCTCTGCACGCTTGAGGAAGGACGGACTGGCCAGTCGAGCGCAGGCTGTAAAAGTGGGTTTGACCGAAGAGCACCGCGCGTGACAGGAATCACGGGCTTTGCAGATGGACGGTAATGTTCCTCTACGGGTTTTGAAACACACGAACACGTAATTTCAGACTGACAACACACAAAAGCAGTAAGTTATGCACTCACCCTGCGGTAGCGTCTTTTCCTCGCTCAGCGGCGCAAGCCTCACATCTGCTGGAATCAATCACCAGGAGGATGATTTGACAGTGGGCGGGGCCGCCTGCGCCAATTAGCCTTGTATTATAGGACTATTTGGCTGTCCGTCAGGGTGACAGCTCGCACGCGACAGGGTACGTCATAAAGTGTGGGCGTGTCTTATCTGACGCCGACTCCTCCTCCGTGATCTCTCGGCGCTTCCTCCTCACCGCTCACTTCCCCAAGAGATAGGCGTTTACCTGTATGAAGAATTTGATTGGCTAAACAGAATGTTGGGGGAACAATTGCATCCCTGCTATTTTCCTCTTGCAACTCGCAGGGAAAGTAAGCCGCTGGCTTTTTGCGTTTTGTGCACGTTTTCCAATAGCTGCACACCCTCAGAAACCAACTACCTCCTTGATCAATATAACCAAAGACTATGCATGTACAGTACATATATATTACAGATTTTTAAGTTCTAATGTCTCGATAAATGTTTCTTTTATATACATGTTTAGAGACATGTGTGACCCTGGACCACAAAAAGAGTCACAAGGGTCTTTTTTTTTATTGAGATTTATACATTATTACATCGTCATTCCATTGATGGTTTGTTAGGATAGGACAATATTTGGCTGAGATACAACTATTGTCACGGTGCGTGCGGGGAGATGAGGCGAGGACTCAATCGCTGGAGAAATGGTATTTTATTTTAGTAACAAATGAAACAAAAACAAACTCAAACCACCCCGAGGGGGAAAAACAGACAGGCAGAGCTAAAGCTGCACACATGCAGACACGAAACACACACAATGAGAAATGACGGATCAGCACAGGATGACAGACACAAGGAGAATAAATAGTAACCAAACGAGGAGGCTAACGAGGGAGACACAGGTGGAGCAACTAAAACAATAACGAGGTAACAAGATGGGAGGGGCCAGACAATAGACAGGAGAGAGCACATGGCAAAAGACAAACACAACACAAGCCATGTGCTCCCAGAACACAGTCATCTGGTGGCCCTCCTGGGCACACCCGCTGAAGACTGTGACAACTATTTGAAAATCTGGAATCAGGGTGCAAAAAAAATCTAAATATTGAGAAAATCGCCTTTAAAGTTGTCCAAATTAAGTTCTTAACAATGCATATTACTAATTAAAAATTAAGGTTTGAATTACAGTAGGAAATTTACAAAATATCTTCATTGAACATGATCTTTACTTAATATCCTAATGATTTTTGGCATAAAAGAAAAGTTGGTCATTTTGACCCATACAATGTATTGTTGACAGTGTTGGGGAGTAACTAGTTACATGTAACGGAACTACGTAATTTAATTACAAAATAAAAGTAATTGTAATCAGTTACAGTTGCTAAGAAAAAATGTGTAATTAAATTACAGTTACTTATGAAAATGTTAAGGATTACAAAGGGGGTTACATCTGATTTTTTCACACACACACTCCCACAGATTTAATTGAGTTCTTTCATAAACTGCAGTGACTGCTCTAAAATATGAATCACCAATGTTTTAAAAGTTTATAACATGCTTATCCGATAGGGTTTATGTATATGTTTTTTTTTTTTAAGATTAACTCTTTTTTTTCTAAGGTATTGTTAGATTCCAGTGTTTCTGCTCATAGCTATGTGCAAATATTTGATTTCAAAAACATTATCATAGCTATTAAACTATTTCTTGTTATTATTTTAAATATGTATTTAACCTCAGAATGATTTTAAAGTAAGTCTGGTTTTGTGGTGGCTGTGCTTTAAAGGGGACATTGGATGCCCATTTTCCACAAGTTTGTATGATTCTTTAGGGCAGTGGTTCCCGACCCTGGTCCTGGAGGCACCCCAACACTGCACATTTTGCATATCTTCTTTCTCTGACACACCAATTTCAGATCTTGGAGTCTCTACTAATGAGCTGATGACCTGAATGAGGTGTGATTGATTAAGGAGACATACAAAACATGCAGTGTTGGGGTGCCTCCAGGACCAGGGTTGGGAACCACTGCTTTAGGGTATTCTTGAAATGGTCTCAGTGGTCATGTAAAACAACACCCTTTTTACCTTGTCAAAAACGGCTCTGCTCACAGCGACTCGTTTCGGTGCATATCTCTTTACATGCTAATAAGCTCTGCTCACCCCGCCCCTCTCTTCTGTGGAAGAGCAAACGCGATTCGCAAATAATCATAAAAAATAAAAAAGTGTGTTGGCACCGATAGCCTTGTGGGCAGTGTGCCAACATACAGCGCCATTGTGCTTCGGGTGTCCCGTGTTTGAATCCAGACTTGCAGCTGGATCATGAACAGCGGGTACTGATCCATCCTTGAGTTTTAACTTTTTTTAAAAACCTGCCTTGAATTGTCCCTCATTCAGAAAGCAGTCTGGAGTAAAATGATTTGCGCAGCCAGATATAAGCAAATTTAGTGAAAGTGAAGTGACATGTGGCTAAGTATGGTGACCCATACTCGGAATTTGTGCATGCTCTGCATTTAACCCATCCAAGTGCGCACACACAGCAGTGAACACACACACCAACAAAGTTGGGGATTTGGTGCCTTGCTCAAGGGTCTCACCTCAGTCGTGGTATTGAAGGTGGAAGAGAGCGCTGGTATTCACTCCAAAATCAAAATGGCTTGATAACTGAGACTGTTTAGGTTTTTGGGGGATTAAAAAAAGGAGTGAATTTTCATAATTGTAGGGTGGTTGTGTCCACACACTGCTAAGACACATTTATATGCAAATGAAGATATTTTGCATCCAATGTCTCCTTTAAAATTAAAATATTATAATCTTAATTCAAGTGATGAAGGATTTCGAAAGTCTGACAGTTATCAGTGTTGAGTACATATTGTAAGTTTAGCCCTGCCTGGTTTACATGTTTGAAAATGATTAACAGTTGAAAACATTAGAAATTTAGAAAAGTATCCAAAAAGTAATCAAATGTAATCAGTTACATTACTTTTATAAAGCAATTGAAAAGTTACACTACTTATTACATTTTAAGTAGGGTAACTTGTAATCTGTGACCTATTACGTTTCAAAAGTAACCTTCCCAACACTGATTGTTGGCTATTGCTACAAATATACCCCCAGCGACTTATGACTGGTTTTGTGGTCACATATATTTTAAAATGTTTCTACTATTCTATGCTTTTCCTATTTTATTCATTATTTATTGTTATTTTTTTATTTTAATATTGTATATTTCTATTTCTTGTAATTACTTGTTTTGTGTATAATGCTTTGGCAATATTGTGTCTGTAAACACAAGATAGTAAAGTAGGCTACTTTAAATTTTAAATTGAAAGAGCAGAGTGGGTATTTACAGCATTATGTTTCAGATAATGCAACAACACATAAATGCATACGCACACACACACACAGAAATTCTGGAATCTAGGGAAGAGGAGTTGTTGACATAAAAGTAACTGTTCATTTAAAAATATATATATTGGTATTATCATTGTTTTATGTTGTTATTTTTATTAACATGACTGATAGATTATTTTTTTCCCTCTCTATGACAACTATTAATGTATATACTTATGCTTTGGCAATATTGTGTGTAAAACAATCATGCTAAATAAAGTACTTTGTTTGTTTTTTAATGACTTGCATGGTAAAATGAAAATAAATGAAATAAATAAATAAATATTTGTATTAATTATTATGTATGGCATATTATTTATTTATTATTCCTTATAAAAATAGATTGTAATATTCAACCATTTCATATTCAGGTGTAACAGCATCATCAAGTAACTTATTCCAATAAATATCTAGATAAAAATGGGGAAAAGTACAAAGGCTGCATTTACATTTTTAAAGACTATTTTGTGGCTTATAATTCTGACTCACATTCGATCTATTTATTTATTAAAACACTGTTTTTTATTGCTCTTCTCAAACACGACCTTCTCAACATAATTGAAAAGTTACACTACTTATTACATTTTAAGTAGGGTAACTTGTAATCTGTGACCTATTACGTTTCAAAAGTAACCTTCCCAACACTGATTGTTGGCTATTGCTACAAATATACCCCCAGCGACTTATGACTGGTTTTGTGGTCCAGGGTCACATATATTTTAAAATGTTTCTACTATTCTATGCTTTTCCTATTTTATTCATTATTTATTGTTATTTTTTTATTTTAATATTGTATATTTATATTTCTTGTAATTACTTGTTTTGTGTATAATGCTTTGGCAATATTGTGTCTGTAAACACAAGATAGTAAAGTAGGCTACTTTAAATTTTAAATTGAAAGGGCAGAGTGGGTATTTACAGCATTATGTTTCAGATAATGCAACAACACATAAATGCATACGCACACACACACACAGAAATTCTGGAATCTAGGGAAGAGGAGTTGTTGACATAAAAGTAACTGTTCATTTAAAAATATATATATTGGTATTATCATTGTTTTATGTTGTTATTTTTATTAACATGACTGATAGATTATTTTTTTCCCTCTCTATGACAACTATTAATGTATATACTTATGCTTTGGCAATATTGTGTGTAAAACAATCATGCTAAATAAAGTACTTAGTTTGTTTTTTAATGACTTGCATGGTAAAATGAAAATAAATGAAATAAATAAATAAATATTTGTATTAATTATTATGTATGGCATATTATTTATTTATTATTCCTTATAAAAATAGATTGTAATATTCAACCATTTCATATTCAGGTGTAACAGCATCATCAAGTAACTTATTCCAATAAATATCTAGATAAAAATGGGGAAAAGTACAAAGGCTGCATTTACATTTTTAAAGACTATTTTGTGGCTTATAATTCTGACTCACATTCGATCTATTTATTTATTAAAACACTGTTTTTTATTGCTCTTCTCAAACACGACCTTCTCAACATGGCAGTAGTAATCGTCCTTTTACAAGCGATTTACTTCCTACGTTTCGACCAATTGCAGTCCTTCGTGGACCTACGCAAATTTACCGGGAAAACGGATGTTGCTCAGGTTCCGGTGGAAGCTGACACTCAGTACTGAGAAGTGGCGGGAGATTTGTGAAGTACATATGCG